CCGGTGGGCGGGCGTTCGGGCGCCGTGCGAAATTCGGGGGTGCTGTGTCCCAGCGTTTTATACCGGAGACCCTCAAGCAAACGGAAGAGTCGACAGGGCAGCAGAGTGGCCACCTTTAGACCCGCCCTTTAGATCCGCGAATTGTGGCGATAGGGCCGCAAATTCTTCAGTGTGTCAGCCGCTGGCCGCACGTGTGTTCAGGTGCTTGGCGTCACGCTAGTTCTTGCGCGTCGCGTCGACTCTGCTGCTTGTCTGTGTGAGCGCGGGTGAGGTCCCGAGTTAAGTCGCAGTTTCCCCACTGGAGCAAATGATACCCCGGGAGCCCGACCTGCAGGACCTCGGCTAACCCTGGTTTCCTCGCAAAGGCCCATTTCTAAAGAACGTCAAACTGAGGATTAGTGTTGCAACACGTGAATTTGGGGCACACAATAGTAAGTCTGTTATTACAGGTAGGTACTTGACAAAAAGCTACCCAAATATATACCTTTAAAATGGGAGTTTTTCTATTTGAAATAATTCTATTAACATTTTTATTATATATATTACAAATATTTTCTATCTGAGTTTATGCTTGATATTAAAAAGAGATCTCTAATTTTTTTTATCACAATATTATTATATGCTTGTCATCAGTAAAAAGAGAATAAAAATCACCTTCAATTTATTAACTGTTAGCCACCTGTAATGGTTTGAAATATATTTTTAAACTGAATTATATATTATGGGTTTTTAAAAATTGACTTTAGAGAGGGGGAGGAAGGGAGTGAGAGAGAAACATCAATGTAAGAGAGATACATAGATCACTTGCCTCCTGCACATGCCCCGAATGGGGATTGAACCCACAACCTAGGTATGTGCCCTAACTAAGAATTGAACCGGCATCCTTCTGGTGCAAGGGCTGATGTTCCAAACAACTCTATTAACTTATTTTTATTATATATATTATATACTCTCTATATGAGTTTATTCTTGATATTAAATAGAGATCTCTAATTTTTTTATTAGAGCAATGCTGACTAAGGCTGAATATTTTTTTTATAACTTATAAAAATAGGTCAGATTAAATGCATATTTCAAAGGCTTCTGATTTAGTTTTACCAAACGTACCCAATAATGTGCCATTACATAACGCTTCCACATACAGTGTGCCAGGTTTTTCTACATCTTAAGCGACAGTCGGTATATTATCCTTCTGTTTGTNCGTGCCATTACATAACGCTTTCACATACAGTGTGTCAGGTTTTTCTACATCTTTAGCGACAGTCGGTATATTATCCTTCTGTTTGTTTCTAAAATGATAGCCCAATTTTGGCTTGTTGACCGTCTTATGGGTATTAAAGGCATCTCACTGTGGTCCCCGTATATACTGCTCTCATTACTAACATGGTTGGTCATTTTTTTTTATGTGTTCATCGGCCAATTTTAAACCTGAGAAATTTGTTTTTTACTGATTTTTAGAAAATGGTCACATATTTGGAATGGTAGTCTTTTGTTACTTATTTTGTATTAAACAGTTGGCTGCCCTTCGTCCCCAGTTCTTGGGAGGTAGCCTCTAAATTGTGGGAATGTTCCGAGTGATAGGAGTATCTATGTTATTCATAATGGGCCCTGATAGTTTGTGCTAACGGGGTGACGTGGTGGGTGTGTGGATAGTTTATGTTGGTAAGATGACTCAGGATGGGGCTGATTATGCCAAAAACACCAATCACGGTNATGTGGTGGGTGTGTGGATAGTTTATGCTAGTAAGATGACTCAGGATGGGGCTGATTATGCCAAAAACACCAATCACGGTGATTAGAGGGTTGGGGCTCTGAGCCAGGTAATATCAGTTCAACCTCCAGGACGGTAGGGGTGGCTGGAGGATGAGTCTCATGGGCAGTGATTATTTAATTGTGTTTACCTAATGAAACTCTTATTAAAAACTATAGACATTTGAAGCTCAAGTGAGCTTCTTTGGTTGGCAGTACCCTGCATATTGTTACACACAGATATGCTGGATGAGAAATGTGCCCTGACAACAAGGGGAAAAGACCGTGGAAGCTTCTGGTTTGGAATCCTTGCAAACCTTACTCTACTTGTGTTTCTCAATTAGACTGGTAATGATCTGTATCCTTTTGCTATAAGAAAACTGTAATGTTTCCCTGGCCAGTGTGGCTCAGTGGATATGGTTTCCTAATATTTTATTTAGGGTTTTTGTAGCCAAGTTCACAAATGAGATTGGCCTATAAATTTCTTTCTCATATTGTCCTTAAAATCTAGGTCTGTTTTCTTAAGTTCTTTTGCTTCTTTGCATGTCTGGTAACTTTTAAAAATATTTTTTTTAAATTGATTTTTGAGAGAGAGAGACTAAAGGACAGACAGAGACAGACATTGACTTGTTGTTGCACTTTTTTATGCATTCATTGGTTGCTTCTTGTATATGCTCTGACGAGAGATCGAACCTGCAACCTTGGCGTATTGGGACAACACTCCAACTGAGCTATCTGGCCAGGGCTGGCATGTCTGGTAATTTTTGATTGGATATCAGATATTGTCAGTTTTACATTGTTGTTTGTGGGATTTCCTCTTTTTTTTTTTAACTGCTTTTGAGCTTAGCTCTGGGTCATAGTTAAGTTACTTTGAAACTGTTTGATTCTTTCTTTTTTGAATTTTTATGAGTTTATTTCAGCCAAATGATGACATATGCCAGGGAGCAAGATCATTGCTCCTGTGAAGAACATTTTTGCAGCTCAGTTTGATTCTTTGGAGGCTTTCTTTTAGCTTTGTTAGGCGAGGCCAAAACAGCCTTTTGTTTAGGGTTACTTTGTCCCTGGTACTGAGGCAATACTCTGCTGAGAGCTCTATTTATAGCCCCTGTGTATTAGGAGGTCTTTTCACCCTGACTAGTGAGAACACAGACTATTCCTGATCTTGTGTGAGCTCCAGGAATTGTTATGCCTGCTCCTTTCCGGTAGCCTTGGTCGTTTCCTCACAGTTAATTAGTAGTTATCCAGAGACTTAAGGGAATCCTCTGCTCATCTCAAGAATGAGTTTTTGTTTCTCTCTCTCTCCCTCCCTCCTTTTCTCTCTCCCCCTCCTTCTTTCTCTCCCTCCCCCTTCCTCCATTCCTTCTTTCCTTGCTCTCTCAGCCCCTCTTTCCCTCTCTCTCTGTCCTAATGTACTGCCTGGCAAACTTACCATCTTTGCTTTCTCAGACTTTGAATTCTGTGTCATTAACTCAGCAAGACTGCCAGACTTTGGGGGGGGGTTGTTACTTCTCCCTATGTTATGGCCTGGAAAATCTCTCCAGGTATTGAGCTGCAGCAAGGGTCTTACCTTGTTTTTGTTTTTCCTTTTCTCTGCTTTCTGTGTCTGAAAATAGTTGTTCTAGATATTTTCCCAATTTTTAAAAGTTGGTTAAGATGAAGGATGATTCTTGTTATTCACCCTGGAATCAGAGGATTTATTGATTATAAGGGTTTGTGCTTTATCCTTGCTCCATGAGTTACTAGTTGTGTGGCTTTCAGCTAGATGCTTGACCTTTTCTTTCTTGGTTTTCTCTGAAGTGGAATAATTATAGTCTGTACCTCATAGGGTTGTTGTGAGGGTTAAGTGAGAAAATGTACTAAAAACAGTTCCTTGCTTATGTAGGAACTTGCTTTTATTATTATTTTTACGCCAAACAAATCTTTCCTTGACTACATAGATGCTGGCTTCCTAGAATGAGGCAGCTTGTGTAAACGAAAAAAAGATCTTAAGTCCAGAAATTATTCCTTGTGGAGGCTACCCTGGATAAAACACCAGTATCAGGATTTTAGGAAAGATACTAAAAGTGGTGGCCATATCCTGAAAGCTGCTGAAATGACTAAGTCCCAGGTGAGCTTGTTATTTTCCAATTTGTTATCTAGTAGATTTTTGGAAGTTTATAAAAATATGTACAATCAAAGAGAACAATATATTTAGACACCTTGTGGCTGGGAGAGACGTGCTTGATTGGGAGACGGAATAAATGATTCAGAGTAGCCATCAGGAAGGGAGATTTATCTGCATGTCTTAGGGTCCTGCAAAGTCCTAATAATTAGAACGTTGCCCCATAAGCAGCAGGATCCAGAAATGATTTGCAAACTTTCCTGTGGTAATACTGAAAACCGTCACAAAAGAATAAAAACATGTTACAGGATTTCCTTTGTATATTTGGAGGAAGCACATGTATTCCTTGAGATCAGTAAATATTTCCTGAACATTGTGAAGAAATGTCTTTGATGGGTCTTCCTCTTCCATTTTTCTCATCTAGATTGTAGACCCCGTGAACAGTCATCTTCCTAAGGAAATATGGGAGATAAAAAAGGCACAGCTAGAAAAGTTTTTAAATCTCTTATTACCTATCAAAAGTAGGTAATAATAGAACTTACATAAGGGTTGTTGTATAGGTCATTGTGTTAATATTTGTAAAATGTTTAGAATGATGCACAGCACATAGAACTCTATGTTTGTTTGTGAGTATCATGATTTAATATGTAGCACAGTTTCTAATAGGCAGTTCTGAGCATAACGTCCTCAGATGTTCACTTTTGTATGTGAACGACACTGCAGCGACTACCGAGTGTCTGCAGGAAATGTGTATACTTGCTCCAAGATCAGTTTCTGCCTGTTATCTAAGCACCTGTTCTCATCAGCTTCTTCTCCTGTCTCACTGAATTATTTGCAGTTCTTTGAACCCAAATAGATCAGAAGCTGTATGACATGGGACCATGCTTTATTTCTGGTTTTAATTGCAAAACGTGTAGTAAGTAACATTCAATGCCCCTAAGGTGGGTTTCAGATGATTTTTAGGTAATTAAATGTTTTAACGTTTTATGTTGGGGAAATGAATGAATGAAGAAGTGAATGAAGAATGCAGAAAGGGAGGGTAGTTTTTAATGAATTTAGCTCAGAAGTGTAAATCAAAACTAGAATAGAGAGAAACATTTATGAATTTTCATAGTATAAGTAATCAGAATGTCCTAAAGTTATTTTACATTTTATTTTATTATGTTAACTCCAAACTAAAAAGGATTGTGTTATAACAGGGCATATTGTCATTCAGTGATGTGGCTGTACATTTCACCTGGGAAGAGTGGCAGCTACTAGACACTGCTCAGAAGAATCTCTACCGGGATGTGATGTTGGAAAATCATAGCAATCTAATGTCATTGGGTAAAGACAACTTTTCGAAATATCTCATCATAAGCCCATTAATTGCCTATTTTTTTTTCTATTGCTACAATTTATGGGTACTCTGATATTCTCAGTGATTTTGAACTTGGACTTATATAGAACTTATTTTAAAATGTAACTTATTTTTTTTATGATCAGATAGTGACAATACTTTTATTTCCAAATGAAAAGTTTCTGTTTTGCTGATATTTATACATTCTCTGAAACAGGACTTTTCCTCACAGGCCCTAATACAGCTCATGTTCTCTGTGATTACTCTTTGACAGGTTATCAAGCTACTAAGTCAGAAGCAATGGTCTACTTGGAAAAAGGAGATCGAGGAATAGTAGAGAGGGAATTTCCAAGTCATTTTAGACCAGGTGAGTGAAACCAAAGCAATGGGACTTAGTGGAAGCAAAGTAATAGTTGGTATGGTACCCTTGTTATTTTAATATTTTTTCTCATAATCTCTGAATCTTTAGGTTACTTAGAGTGAGTGAAAAGGGGTCTTTTGTATGAATGTTGCCTGCTTCTCTTACCGCCCTTCCATATATGACTCTTTTTTTCTAGCCACCTAGGAGGTGTACCTCCTTTTATCGGCCCTGGGTGAGATCTTTGCCTATTTCATCTGGTCTTTCCTTATTTGTTTAGTGTTCTATTGAAGCTTAACAGACACAACCAGCCTCCTCCACCCCTTATACATATTCACATACCTCTTATATTACACTTTAAAATATTCCTAGATTTGTTGCAAAGTTTGATGATACCCATGTTTTTCAGTGCATTACCTGTTACTGTTTCTTTTATTGAATGCCTCAGACTTATATTGTGCACCTGCTATATCACTTTCTTCATTCTCTTTGAATATTGACTTGAGATTTCATCACCCTCCATTTTATGATAACGGGTAGAATTCATTGTTTGTTTGGTTTTTCCCTAGAAGTAATGTGGCAAGTTTATGATTGGTATCAGGAAGACATTGAGAAGGATGAACCTATGGAGACAGATCATGAAAACTATGCATTGGGGAAAATATTTTCTCTTAGCAAAAACTTTGTTCCATTTATAGAAAAACCCTATAAGTGTATCACAAGAGAAGTAACTTTGAAACAAAATTCAGATTCAAATTTTCAGAGTAAAAACTATGCAGACATGAGCTCTCATGAGTTAAGTGGTTCTGGGAAATCATTTTTCCATACTCTACATGAAAACTCTCACATTCATGCTCAGTACTATGAACCAAATTTACATTTGGAGGTTTTCAGCCTTGTGACAAATCCTAAAAGACATCGCAGAATTCACACAGAAGGGAAACATGAATGTAGTGAATGTCCAAAATCTTTCAGGTATAAGTCAAAGCTCATAATACACCAGAGAACTCATACAGGAGAGAAACCCTATAAATGCAGAGAATGTGGAAAAGCTTACAGTGAGAAAACAAAGCTCAGATTACATTGCAAAATGCACACAGGAGAGAAACCTTTTGAGTGTAGTGATTGTGGGAAAGGTTTTATGCAGAAGTCAAACCTGATTATCCATCAACGAACTCATACAGGAGATAAGCCCTATGGATGTAGAGAATGTGGAAAGGGCTTCTGTAGTAAGTCTCAGCTTGTTGTTCACCAGCGAATTCATACAAGAGAAAAATCCTATGAGTGCAGGGAATGTGGAAAAGCCTTCAATAAAAACTCACACCTCATAACACATCAGAGAATTCACACAGGAGAGAAACGTTATGAATGCTGTGAATGTGGAAAAGCTTTTGTGTATGCATCACAGCTCATTGTACATGAGAGAAATCATACAGGAAGAAAACCTTATGAATGCAAGGAATGTGGGAAATCTTTTAACAAAAAGTCACACCTTGTAAGACATCAGAGAATCCATACGGGAGAGAAGCCATATGAATGCAGTGAATGTGGAAAAGCTTTTATAGACAACTCACATCTTATTGTTCATCGAAGGACTCATACAGGAGAGAGGCCTTATGAATGCAGGGAATGTAGGAAAGCCTTCAATAAAAAGTCATCCCTCATAACTCATCAGAGAATTCATACAGGAGAGAAGCCTTATGAATGCAGTGAATGTAGAAAAGCTTTTATAGACAAGTCACATCTCATTGTTCATCAGAGAACTCATACAGGGGAGAAGCCCTATGAATGCAGTGAATGTGGGAAAGCTTTTATAGACAACTCTCAGCTTATTGTTCATCAAAGAACTCATACAGGAGAGAAGCCTTTTGAATGCAGGGAATGTAGGAAAGCCTTTAGTTATAAGTCATCCTTCATAGCACATCAAAGAATTCATACAGGAGAGAGGCCTTATGCATGCAGTGAGTGTAGAAAAGCTTTTATATACAAGTCACATCTCATTGTCCATCAGAGAACTCATACAGGAGAGAAACCCTATGAATGCAGTGAATGTGGAAAAGCTTTTGTACGAAAGGCAGTGCTCGTTGTACATCAGAGAACGCATACAAGAGAGAAACCCTTTGCTTGTCTTGAATGCCAAAAAGCCTTTAGCAGTATGGCAATGCTCAGTACACATCAGTTGATTCATACGGGAGAGAAACCACATAGGTGCAATGAATGTGGAAAAGCTTTCCGCCAAAAAAGCCATCTTATTATCCATCAACGATGCCATACTGGTGAGAAACCGTATGGATGCATTTCATCTGGTCAAATCTTCAGCTAGAAGTCACAGCTCATTAGACATCAGAGATGTCACACAGAGAAACCATATCAATGTACTCAGTGTGAGAAAGCCTTTTTTGTGAAATCATACCTCAGTGTCCATCAGAGAAATCCTGCAGGGGAAAAAATCAATGTAATGAATGTGGGAATACTTTCTCTGCCAAGTTCTTTCTCACGTAACATGAAGAAATTCATACAGAAAAGAAATCTAAGAAACACATTAAGTGCTGGAAAGATGTTAGTGATGTATCAAATCTCACCGAATACAAGAGAATTCACACGAGACACTATGAATGTGGTGAAAGGATATTTTTCTATTATTTTTGACCTTAGTAAGTTTCAGAAAACTTATCCAGGAGAGAAATCTTTTAAATGCAGTGAATATAGGAAAATTATCTCCCACCAACTTCGCCTCATATTTCATTAGAGAAAGGCAATGTGAATGAGTTGAAAAGTCAAAATCATTTCTTGAAAAATCCAATTATATATCACACAAATGAAATCTTTTGAGTGTACAAAAGGTTTTTGATAGGTCATAAAATTTTGAGTTTTCACAGGAAATATCTAATGGATGTTATGAATCCTGGAATACTTTCCATACAAATGAGTTTTCATACCAAAGAATGCAGATGACTGAAGACTTGTGATAAGGGATGCTTCTGGCATTAAGTCTAAACTTACTGTGCATCAGATAATATTTATTAAGGAGAATTAGTATAGTGTAATGATGGCAGAAAATATTGTTTACACATAACTTTATAATAAAAATTCTAATTCTTTCACATTATTATGTATTTATAGAAAATGTACCACAAAGTAGTCAGTTTTGAAGGGCAGGTAACTTTAGCATGCAAAATAACACTTTGTTTATGTTTGGATATATTATATAGTCAAAGCAGTAAATTAAGAAAGTTTGCGGATGTATGTATTTGCTTTATTTCTGAGTATTTTTGTAGAACACATATATACTCATTTCCAGGTTTCTCAAGATAAAGTTGTGTACCGCAAAATTATTGTTCCAGTTTGTATAGTATCCACCAAAAATTGTCAGCATGGTAAATTTTTGTATATCATACAAATTGCAAGGGAAGTAATTAGGCTTAAGATTGAAGACGACTAACATAGTACCATACACATATATACTTACTGTTTACTGGTATATGTAAATAGAACTGGTATTTCTTTTCAGCCCTTTGGAATAATAAATTTTTAAAAACAAATTGTCATTTGATTATCACTCAGAAACTATAAAAGGAAAGAACTAAGAGATTCTCTAGTCCCAAAGTTAGATTCACACTTCACTGGAGAAAGGTGGCTGTGCAGCTTGCCAGTGGCAAAGTAACTTGAATGGGGAGCAGCCTACAAGTGGCAGAGCTCACAGAAGGGCTCCAACATGTCACACTCCATCCACAAAATATGTCCCACTGATGGTGGAGAAGCTCACCGAAGGCTGGAGGAGAGATGGAACTCATCATTGAGGAATACTAAAGTGAAGGCCAGTGGAACTCCAGCCTGCCAGTCTGCTGGCAGCCACATGTTCACAAAAGGGCACACCAGAACCAGAAAGAGAGGCCCCTTTGCTATGGCCACATAATGACCCTCGTTTAGTCTCTTTTAATAACCCTAAGACTGCACCAGCTGTCATAGGAGACATGTTCACACGGTCCTGCTCTATTATCATTAGCTGGGGTTTAAAAGGGTACTTTGGGTCTAAGAGTTGATACATTGATATAGGCAATAACCGGAAAAGACATACTAAGTGTATTCTGTTGTAGTTTTTAAAATTTTGTTTACCTTTATTGAAAGTATTTTCATTTTTTTATAGAAAGAGTAAGAGAAGAGGATGGCTTGGGGTCCAAGGAGAGTTGAAAGCAGGCTTTGAGGAGAAGATTGGCTAGGACAGACTAAATTCTGTCAGCTGTGAGAATTACAGCCCCCAAAACCCTGTTCCCATGATCTGAACATGTTGACTCAAATTACTGAACCTCCCGGCTCATCACACTTAAATTATCACCATCCGACACAGCCACCAAACACTGACTACCCAAGGAGTAATCTGTAGCTCCCTCAGGCCTATGCCGCAAACTGAGCCCCCAGACTAACCCACTCCCTTGCACTGCCATGCACATCCAAGTGTCCCCTCCGGTAACTCATCACAATCAGATCCCCCAGACAACTGCCAAATGCCCCCAGGCTGCCTTCATCGAGTACAGATGCCACCAATGTCCCCAAGCAGTTAAGGACTTCACCAGTATCCGAGCAACTACAGACTCCTCAGTGTGACACAGGAGGTTTAAGAGAATTTCATACATCTGCTCCTGGTCATACAGAAGTCATAGCACAATTATGCAACAGAAAGACAATCACTGTGAATGTAGCCATTTTGTGAAAACTTCCAGAAATGTACGTGATTTTATATTAGAGAAACTCATACAGGAAAGAAACTACCCAAGACAGAAATGTTGCAATATTTTCATTGCAGAATCAAATTTCAGATGCATCAGAATTTACACCAGAGTAAATTATATGAGTAATAAATATGAGAAAAACTTTTTATTAAAAGTCACAAGCATGTGAGTCCCAAGTTGATAAAAATATTTCAAAGGGCTTTCAGTATGAACAAAAGAGAGGTCTGGCCCAGCCGGGCGTCGCTCAGCGGTTGAGCATCGACCTAGGATCCAGGAGATCGCCGTTAGATTTTGGTCAGGGCACATGCCAGGGTTGTGGGCTCCATCCCCAACCAGGGGCATGCAGGAGGCAGCTGGCCAATGACTCTCATCATTGATGTTTCTCTCTCTCCCTCTCCCTTCCTCTCTCTGAAATCGATAAAGACATATTTAAAAAAAAAAAATGTCTTTCCACTGTGGGGTTGGAGACTAAGTGTTTAAATAAATGGCATGACCAGAACAAGAGATGAAGTTACCAACTATTTCAGCAGTGGCTAGGTGTTTTCTTCCTGCGAATATCAAGGAACCTGAATTTTGTCACTTTTTGAGTTTTGTATATAAGTATAGTATTTATAGGTATGCAATGAATACATGTAACTGTTTTGAAATGATTTCAAAATTACTGAAAAGTTGCGATAATAGCACAAAGAACCCTTCATTCAGATTCCCTAATTCACATTTTACTGCATTTGCTTTATTATATTGTCTATCCATCCATCTATATTATTTTGTTTGTTTTTCTGAACCTTTTGAGAATTTCAACATGATGCCTTTACAGTGTATATTTACTAAGAACAGGGACATTCTCCAACATAATCACAGTATAGCTATTAAAATCAAGAACTTTTATACAGTACTATTATCTAATTTAGAGATTTTATTCAGTTTGTCAATTCTCTAATAATATCCTTTTTAAAATTTATCTTTATTGTTGAAAGCATTACAGATGTCCCCTTTTTTCCTCCCATTGACCTCCCTCCCCACTGCCACCCCCTCCCCAGGCTGTCACTGCCCTGTTGCCTCTGTCCAAGGGTTATTCATATATGCATATAAGTTCTTTGGTTAATCTCTCTCTGCCCCCCTTCCCTCTGATATACGTCAGTCTATTTTATGCTTCAATGTCTCTGGGTCTATTTTGTTCAGCTTATTTTGTTCATTGGACTCCACATATAAGTGAGATCATTTGATATTTGTCTTTCTCTGACTGGCTTATTTCACTTAGCATAATGCTCTCCAAGTTCCCCATGCTGTCTCAGAGGGTTAATATCCTTTATAATAAAAAACCCTGGACTCAAATCCATACGTTGTGTGTAATTGCCATGCTGCTTTAGCATCCTTTAATGTGGAACAGTTCCTGTCCATGTCCTTAATGGCTTTGCCATTTTGCAGAGTAAAGTTTACTTACGTTACAGCATATCCTTCCATTTCAGTGTGATGTCTCCTAATAGGTTATGTATTTTTGGCAGGAGTCCTACGTAAGTGATATTGTGTCCTCAGTGCGTTACATCAGGAGGCGTAGGGTTTTGGTTTGTCTTATTACTGATATGAACTGTGGTCAGTTGGTTGGGTGTTGGGCCTCCCTGGTTTCTCCACTCTAAACTTACTGTGTAAATGCCATGTTCCTCATCAGTGCTTCATTAGTTTTACCAACCACTGATTATTCTTACCTGGTTCAGTTGTTACCATGATGACTGCAAAATAGTGATTTTCTAGCTATCCTGTAAATGTTTAACATTTGGTATTCTACTGTGAGGAAGGGCTTTTCTCTTTCCTCCATGAATTTGCTTGTTTTTTTTTAATGTCACTATGGATTTAAGAGTTATTTTATTCATTGGTTTATCTTTGCTGTCATTGTTTTGAGGTCACATTTCCCCAGGTTTGGCCCAATGCAAGTCCTGTCAACTTGGCTTCTGTGTTTTGGATGTTCCACCATTTGGTGAGCACTTCGTTCTGGTTCAAGAATATTGTCCAGACGCCTTTATTTTCCTTGCTCCAGTGCTGGGATCAGTGATTTCTCCAAGGAGTCCTGGGTTTTTAAGGTGCAGAGCTGTATTTAGAAACAAAGATCAGGGTGCTAGGTATCCCCATTGCTACTGAGGTCATTGCTTTTTAGGCCGTCTCAGTGAGCAGAACTGGGAAACACACGTCTATGTATCTGTGCGTATGTATGTTTGTATGTGTACATGTATGTATGTAACCATGAGTCACACTGATAATTCTATTCAAAGCTATATGAAAACTCATTTAAATCTAACGCCTTGGATTTGTTCTAGCCTTCCCCTCTCCATATCTGTTACTCTATTTTTCAACAGCGGCAAGATCTTTCTTCCATTATTCTAAAAATATTATTTTCTCAACCCTTAGAGTAGCTAATCCATACTTTGTGAAAAACTTAATGACTAGAGTTAATAGCCACTTAAAACTCTTTTTGCCCCAAATATTAGGGTGTACAGTAAATATTGTGTTGAAAATTACTTGGGACTACAGTCACTTTGGTGTGGTTATGAATAATATATAATTAAGTTATTTTCTGTTTATATTCTATTTTAGAATTTTCTACCCATGCTTGTTGATGTTAATTATTTATTTTTTTTTTGTATGCAAAACATTAGCATGGTTGCAGGTGTCAAAACTATACTGAAAGTTTTGTATAGCTTTGTATAGAATTACTCAGCAAAGTAATTAATGTGATTTTTAGTTTATAGACTTTCCACAAAATCGGTATTTTCTGATTGTTGTTTCGGGATTCTTAGGATATATTCCCAGAAGTGGGATCACTGGATCAAAAGGCAGCTCCATTTTTAATTTTTTGAGGAAGCTCCATGCTGTTTTCCACAGTGGCTGCACCGGGCTGCATTCCCCCCAGCAGTACAGGGCTCCCTTTTCTCCACACCCACGTCAGCACTTGTCGTTTGTTGACTTATTTACAGTAGCCATTCTGACAGGTGTGAGGTGATACCTCATTGTGATTTCAATTTGCATCTGAGATGATTAGTGAGCATATTTCCTATGTCTCTTGGCCACCTGTGTGTCCTTTTTGGAGAATTGTTTATTCAGGTCATTTGCCCATTTTTAAGTTGGATTGTTTTGTGTGCATTTGTGTGTGTGTGTTGAGTTTTGTAAGTTCTTTATATTTTTGGATGTNGTTTTGTGTGCGTTTGTGTGTGTGTGTTGAGTTTTATAAGTTCTTTATATTTTTGGATGTTAAGTTATCAGATGTATTATTGGTGAACCCAACCCTTGTTCTAAAAATACTTCCNTGTGTGCATTTGTGTGTGTGTGTTGAGTTTTGTAAGTTCTTTATATTTTTGGATGTTAACTTATCAGATGTATTATTGGTGAACCCAACCCTTGTTCTAAAAATACTTCCCAAGCAATCCTGATGGAGCAGCATCAGTTGAAGATCAACATTTGGGAAACAGGTACCTAGATGGGGTTTGGAGCTGGGAGAAACATGAGGTGGGACTGTGAGGAAAAAAACCCCGTTGGCCGATCCTCAGCGTCCCAAGATTAGGAAACATTTGCACAGATTGTCTTTCTCGAGTAGCAGTGGTAACTCTTAGGATGGGATGAGATAACAGGAGAAATCTCCAGACTCCTGTCCCGGGAATGTACATTCTTGATGAAGGGGACTTCCTGGATTTAAACAGAACAAAGTTTCTGTTCAGGGCCACATAGAAATCACTCGGGGGCAGGCTCATGGGGATTAACCCAGCGCTCCTGGAGGTTCCCTCCCAGCAAGGCCTTGGAGCTGGGGCTGAGGCAAGACTTCCATTTCCTTGCTCAGTGTTTTAGCCACAAGGTGGAGCTCAGGTTCTGATGACTTCGTTGTCATTAGCCCTTGAGACACCAAAGCCAGTCATGCCAGGATCTTTTGCTGCTGCCTTGGACCTGCCAGCTCCCTGTCCTAGTAAGCGCAAATTTAGAGAACTGCAGTGTCTCTATGAATGGGCAGCTCTTCTTTAAGCAGCCCGAATCCAGAAGCTATGAAGCTCTCCTGGTATTAAGGGAAAGGGAGCTGAATTGGCTGGAATTATTTTTATTTTATTTTAAAATGTGGAATATAACAAGCCCAAGGGGAGGGGGGATGGATAAGAGATAAACATGAAGATAATAGATCTTTGAAAGTCACAGTTTATCAGAATGGACAGAAATAGAAAATCTGAAGATTCTAATAACTATTCAAGGAATAGAACCTGTTATTAAAAGCCTTCTGGTAAAGAAAACCCCAAGCCCAATTGGCTTCACTGGTAAATTTATCGAACATTTATAAAGATATAACACCAGAGAAAAGAATCAGGGGAATCACTTCCCAGCTCTTTTCAGGAGGCCATAATAAGTTGATGTAAAACCTGACACGACATTAGAGGAAAGTAAAAGCACAGACTCATCCTTGCGTAAACATAAATGCAGAAATTCCAAATCAGTCTAGTGAGATTAATTAGAAATATATAAAACACATAATGAGCAAGTGTGGTTTATTCTAGGAATGCAAGGGTACTCTAACGTTCAAAAATTAATATAATTTATGATGATGTAAATGAAAGGATAAATATAATATGATTTTTTGACTTGATCAAATCATTTATTAGTTTTTTAAAAATTTACCTTTATTGTTGACAGTATTACAGATGTCCCCTTTTTTCCTCCCATTGACCCCTCCACCCCGCATCCACCCCAGGCCTTCCCTGAACCAATGTCTGTGCCCATAGGTTAAGCATATATGCATGTTCTTTGACCAATCTCTCCCCACCCACTCCCCCACCTCCGCCTTCCCTCTGAGAGCCCTCAGTCTGTTCCACCCGCCTACATCTCTGATGATCATCTTAATATATTCAGAAATTCATTTGACACAGTGCAATAGCTATTCATGATTTAAAAAGAAACTCTTAGTGAGCTGAGTATAGAAAAAAAACTTCTGTAGTCTGATAAAGCAAAGCTTACAAAAAACCCCACAGCAAACGTCTTACTAAATGGTGAAATACCAAAGTTTTCCCCCTTAATGTCCTCTCGTCTAAGTTTTATAGATTCCCCATCACTCTTTCTCTTCTCTCCCCTTGTACTCTTTCCCACCTCCACTTACCCCAGGGTATATGCTGTGGTGCAAAAGCCAAAAAATCATAGAAATAATACCCTTATGTCCATTTCTTCCCACCATTCAGAGGGCACCAAAGAAGTTCATGATGTGTGACTCAGTATGACCCAAGAAGGTAAGGTGAAGCTGGAACCGGGATCAGGGTAGGAACAGGCAGAGCCTGCAAATGCCCCCACCGCCCCCTCACATTGCCTGTAACTAGGCCTCTTTAGGAAGTGAAGCAGATTTGGTGGTTGTGTCACTGGTCGGGTCTGAGTCCTCGGTCAGGGCCCTCTCTAGACTGGCAGGCAGGGAGCGGATCAGGGTCTTTCGGAAGTCTTGGCCCACGAAGACATAGAGCATTGGGTTGAGGCAGCTGTTGAAGAAGGCCAGGGCGCGTGTTGGGTATATCAGGATAGTGAGGATTTTGTACTTACCCTCCAAAATCTCTCTGAGCCAAACTGTCCTCAGGAGGGCGTTCAGTTGAAAGGGGAACCAACAAACAAAGAAGGAAGCCACTACAGCAGTGAGGACCCGCAAGGAACGGCTGGAATTAATCATGCCTTTTCTGCGGATCTTGGCAGCAATAAGCCCATAGCAGACGGCGACAATGGACATTGGCATAGAGAAGCCAATGACAAACCGGATGATCCCTCTGGCTGTCAGCACCGTGATGAGCACCTTCATCCTCTCTTCAGGGGTGTCACCCCATGACGCAAACTTGAAAGTACAGTATGTATTTCCTCTTTGATCCCGCACTATAGACATGAACAGGAAAATTTGCGAGGTAAGGACTAGTGCGAGAATCCAGGGTACAAGGATCACTTTTGCAGCCAGGCTTACAGTGCGGTGGTTCTGGGCCCAGACTGGATGCAGGACACAAATACAGCGGTCCAGAGCAATGAAGGCGATGAGGAAGACGCTTCCGAACAGGTTAATGTCCACTATGATGTTAATTAACTTGCACAGAAACCAGCCAAAAGGCCATTGTTCTTTCATGACCATTGAGACCATGAGGAATGGTAGAGTGGCAATGAAAGAGAAGTCAGCTAAGGCCAGGTTCAGGTAACAAACGGTGGTGACTGTGCGTGCCATCCGGAACCCAGCCACCCAGATCACGAGCCCATTGCCCAGGATGCCGAGGACAAAGGTGATCGCATCAACCACCAGTGAGGTGATTTGCAGAGCAGTGAACACTGGGGAAGCAAATGTCTCAAGAGATTGATTCAGAGAGATGGAGAAGTTGGTTTCCATCGTGCCCACACCTGAAACAGTTCAACAATGGGAATCGGTCAGCTGTGAAAACACCTCTATTCAGGCCAATGTCAACTTCCACTACAGCCTCCTCGCCAAACAGGAGTCCCACTCTACGGAACCTTGTGGCCAGTAACTGTAACTGTGGCAGACTCTTGGCTGTTCCTTTGGGAAAGGACAGTGAGCACCTATGTACATTTAGTACTTGTAATAATATTACGAGACATCCATTACGATCCCTCTTTTACCAGGGGGAAGTCATGCCCATGGGTTTCAGCAGTCTGTTCATCATGAGCCCAGCCAGTCAGTGTAGACAGCAAGCTCTGAAAACCGGATTGAACCGATTCCAGAGCCACTGCCTTTGCCACTGTAAATACTGCCTTTTAAGGGTTCCTCCCCCCAAGATTACCTGGAGATGACCGTGCCCTAGTACGACAATTTGCCTCACCCCTTCCCTCTTCTTTTGTTCTTGCCTTCCCTCATCACTTCCACCGAGTTTCTATGAGTTATTGCTTAACGTGGTGCAGTGTTTCTCAACCTTGGCAACGCTACATTTCGGGCTGGATAATTCTTTGTCTTGTACAGTGTAGGATGTTTAGCAGCATCCCTGGCCTCTATCCACTAGATGCCATCACCAGCATCCTTCTGTAGTGACAACAAAAACCTCTACAGATATTGTGAAGTGTCCCCTGGGGAAAAGTGAGCCCAGTTGAGTCACTGTTACAATGCAGAGTGCTGGGCTCAGGAGTTATGTCAAGCTGTATCTAATCTCCTCTCTCACCCCTGCTCAGTGACAGTGACATACCTTTGAACTGCAGTCTCCTCCTTTACAGGATGGTGTGATTTTGGGGTGAAGACTGGTTTTTAGGTGAGGATTAGGTGAGAATAGACATGGAAATCTTTTAAGCTGAATGAAGTGTCTTTAACACATGGGAACCCTTGGCACTTCCCAGCCTCTGGCCTGTGTCCTGGGACACAATCCCAGGACCATACACTCTGCAAGCTCCAGTTGAGGTCAAGAACGATGCAATAATTATCGCATTTACTACTTATGAGCATTTTGCACGTGTCGATCTCTTCTAACGCTCGCCACCACTGCTCTCGGAGGCTCTTGAGGATAGCATGTGTNTCATGAGCCCAGCCAGTCAGTGTAGACAGCAAGCTCTGAAAACCGGATTGAACCGATTCCAGAGCCACTGCCTTTGCCACTGTAAATACTGCCTTTTAAGGGTTCCTCCCCCCAAGATTACCTGGAGATGACCGTGCCCTAGTACGACAATTTGCCTCACCCCTTCCCTCTTCTTTTGTTCTTGCCTTCCCTCATCACTTCCACCGAGTTTCTANGAGATGACTGTGCCCTAGTACGACAATTTGCCTCACCCCTTCCCTCTTCTTTTGTTCTTGCCTTCCCTCATCACTTCCACCGAGTTTCTATGAGTTATTGCTTAACGTGGTGCAGTGTTTCTCAACCTTGGCAACGCTACATTTCGGGCTGGATAATTCTTTGTCTTGTACAGTGTAGGATGTTTAGCAGCATCCCTGGCCTCTATCCACTAGATGCCATCACCAGCATCCTTCTGTCGTGACAACAAAAACCTCTACAGATATTGTGAAGTGTCCCCTGGGGAAAAGTGAGCCCAGTTGAGTCACTGTTACAATGCAGAGTGCTGGGCTCAGGAGTTATGTCAAGCTGTATCTAATCTCCTCTCTCACCCCTGCTCAGTGACAGTGACATACCTTTGAACTGCAGTCTCCTCCTTTACAGGATGGTGTGATTTTGGGGTGAAGACTGGTTTTTAGGTGAGGATTAGGTGAGAATAGACATGGAAATCTTTTAAGCTGAATGAAGTGTCTTTAACACATGGGAACCCTTGGCACTTCCCAGCCTCTGGCCTGTGTCCTGGGACACAATCCCAGGACCATACACTCTGCAAGCTCCAGTTGAGGTCAAGAACGATGCAATAATTATCGCATTTACTACTTATGAGCATTTTGCACGTGTCGATCTAACGCTCGCCACCACTGCTCTCGGAGGCTCTTGAGGATAGCATGTGTGAACACGTATAAAGCACTAAGGATACTCTGCGGCTTTGTAAATATGGAATCACGGTAGTTATAATTAGTATAACCATTGTACAGATGAGGAATGAAGACTTAAACTGGTTACATTAATTGTTTAAAACCTCCAGTTAGAAAGAAGTAGGGTCCTAATTTGAGCTCAGACAGAAGGATTTCAAAAGAATTGTGCTCTAAACTTTCCCCAGCCTTCATACTTCCCCCCTCCCCCAGGGTCTGGTTCTCTCTACTCACCCCGTAAGCACCTTACAAGTCATTCAGGAGATACGATTTGCTCAATAATGTCTAAAGCATTGGTTTAAAAATGATACAACAAGGAAGGATAGTTGTACAATGACAGGTGGGGAAAGGCCAATGGAGCAAAGCTGTGAAATTATGGGCTCACTCTCCCTGCAGGGTGGGGGAGAACCTGTGTGCCACAGATGGTCCTCAGATGGATTCTGATGCCTGCTGTTTGGTGGCTCATAAAGGGTGCCAGTCACTGTACAATTTATGAACTCCAATGACAACATCCTTGGTTTTGATAATATCATCATCCATGGTCCTGGCAGAGGAACTGACCTGCCCAGTGTCACAGTTCTTAAGGCTGCAGCTGGATTGACGACCACAGGTTTCAGCAGTTCCCTGTTAGCTCACATTGTGTCTTCATCATGTTTGCATTTTCCTGGTTTGAAATAATTGTTCCAGTTCTGCTTTCTCCTCAAACTTAACGTTTTCTCAATTCCTGCTCTCAGCTGATGCCCTTGCCTCATATTTTAATGAGAAAATGGAAATGATTGTTTGTGAACTTTTTAGCTTTCTCTCAACAACTCCCCCCCAATCTATCTGCACCTGTTATAGTGAATAGAGTTCTTGTTCACTCCAGTTCATACAGTGAGCGAATCAAGAATTCTTGTTCTTTCCCCCTTCACGTTTGCTCTGGATCCCCCCACCTCTCACCTTCCCAAGAATCCCCCTCCTGCAGTACATCCCCAAGACTTTCTGCCTAGGTCATTCTATCACACAAGCATGACCATATGCCCTCCTTTCACAGAGAATCTGCCCTTGGCCCGTGTTCCTTTCCAGCTTCAGCCCTGTTCTCTCAAGAAAACTCTTCCGGGAAAGAGGATTCATAGCCAAACACTAGAAGACAGTGTCTCCACTTGTCACCTCACCTTTTCCTCACTGCAAATTGACTGTGCTCTCCTTAAGGACACCTATGGCCTCCATGTCACTGCTCCAGTGGTGCCTCCTCAGTTCTTACCCTGATATCTCAGTGACGTGGGACCCATTAGATCCCTTCCTCCTTCTAAAACACATTTTCTTGTGCCTTTAGATGATAAAATGTACACACAACACACACTTGGTTGTCTTTATAGCTCAATAGACCACCTCATCTCAGTCCAATTTATTAGCTTTTTCTCCTCCCAAACATAACTTTGCCTAAACCAAACTCTTAGTTCTTCCATCCTCATATCTGCCACCCTCCCAATATTCTGTGCCTGTTTGGAGCCAAAACATTCAAGTGTTAAATTTCCAAATCTAACACTTTTCCTTGATTTCCCTTCCCCTGACCATCCAATCCAATTCAAGTCCATCGATTCTACCTACAAAGCAACTGAGCTGACACCCGGAATCGTCTTTTATCACCATCAACCTTGTCCATGGCCCTTGTCTGGCTGTTTATTTGCACTAACCTTGCAAATAGCTTGTTCTTGCCACTGATGCTGCCCTCCCTCCATCCACTCTTTAGACGTAAGCCAAATGATCTTTGAGAGACACGGATCATACCATGACGTTATTCTACTCAGCACCCTCCAATGGCTTCCAAACTCAAGCCGACCAAGCCCTTCTGCATCTGCCCTGTGTACCCCTCAGACCTCACACATCTGCTGTCCTCTAACACACTGTGATGGATCCACACTGAATTCCTTTGATTCCTTGAACATGCCAAGTTTATTGTCATCTCATGGCTTTTGCATCCTCTGTTCCTTCTGCCTACTATGCTCTTTCTTTCAAGCTTCCCTCATGTGGCTCTCTCTGAGTATTCCTATCTCAGCTTAGATATTATATTCTGAGAGAGGCCCTTCCTGACCCACAGTGCAAAGTGTCTACCCCAGGTACAGCCTGTCTCACGAGGGACTGTCCTTGTTTATTTGTGCATTGACTTTTTTATTGTAAATACCCTCCACATTAGTACGTAGGTTACATAAGACTACCTAGTTCTTTCAATGCTATATCTCTATAATCATGCTGTCCAATAGAATTTTTTGTTCTATACTAAAAAATTCTCCAATTCTCTGTGGACCTCATAAATGTGAGCCTCATATATGACATCATTTTTTAAAGTAAAACGAATCAATTTTGATAAAATATTAATTAGTTTTAATAAGATATTTTATTTAATTCCACACATAGAGAATATCATTTGAACATAACCAAACCAAGAATTTTCGATGAGATATTCTGCGCTCCTTTTTCATACTAACTCTTTGAATATACTAAATACATTTTGACTGCAGTTCATCTGAGGTCAGACTAGTAACAGCTCAATAATCATATGTGGCAAGTGGATTCTTATTGGACAGCCCAGCTCTAGACTTCACATAGCAGGTGTTCAAATAACAGTTTTTAAATTGTCAGGCTTTGAACTTACCACCAGCTGAGATGCCTTTCCTCTGGCCAGTTCCTGGTTTCCTGTTGAGTGACTCAGGCTGAAGGGCTTCAGCAGATGCTTTATTGAAGGAAAGGGGGAGGGACAATGGGGCTCAGCCAATCAGGCGACAGAACTCAGAGCTGCTTGCAATTTCCATAAAGCATCCTGGATATGTCGTCAGCTTACTCTTTTTAGAACCTTACTGACTATTCCCCTCACCTCCCANCAGGTTTCAGCAGTTCCCTGTTAGCTCACATTGTGTCTTCATCATGTTTGCATTTTCCTGGTTTGAAATAATTGTTCCAGTTCTGCTTTCTCCTCAAACTTAACGTTTTCTCAATTCCTGCTCTCAGCTGATGCCCTTGCCTCATATTTTAATGAGAAAATGGAAATGATTGTTTGTGAACTTTTTAGCTTTCTCTCAACAACTCCCCCCCAATCTATCTGCACCTGTTATAGTGAATAGAGTTCTTGTTCACTCCAGTTCATACAGTGAGTGAATCAAGAATTCTTGTTCTTTCCCCCTTCACGTTTGCTCTGGATCCCCCCACCTCTCACCTTCCCAAGAATCCCCCTCCTGCAGTACATCCCCAAGACTTTCTGCCTAGGTCATTCTATCACACAAGCATGACCATATGCCCTCCTTTCACAGAGAATCTGCCCTTGGCCCGTGTTCCTTTCCAGCTTCAGCCCTGTTCTCTCAAGAAAACTCTTCCGGGAAAGAGGATTCATAGCCAAACACTAGAAGACAGTGTCTCCACTTGTCACCTCACCTTTTCCTCACTGCAAATTGACTGTGCTCTCCTTAAGGACACCTATGGCCTCCATGTCACTGCTCCAGTGGTGCCTCCTCAGTTCTTACCCTGATATCTCAGTGACGTGGGACC